GATACTGGAAGATACTTGGAAGATATTTGGAAGATAATGTTTTGACTGTTAATTGAGCACAGAATTTTCTGACATTGAAGAAAATGTATTGAATTTTTTCATTCAGCTTTATGACTTCAAAGATGGTAGGAGAGATATATGACCCATAAAAATGGACACCATGTGGCTGGGCGCGGTGGCTCAAGCCTGTAATCCCAGCACTTTGGGAGGCCGAGGTGGGTGGATCATGAGGTCAAGAGATTGAGACCATCCAGGTCAACATGGTGAAACCCCGTCTCTACTAAAGATACAAAAAATTAGCTGGGCATGGTGGCGCGTGCCTGTAATCCCAGCTACTCAGGAGGCTGAGACAGGAGAATTGCCTGAACCCAGGAGGTAGAGGTTGTGGTGAGCCAAGATCACGCCACTGCACTCCAGCCTGGGTAACAAGAGCGAAACTCTGTCTCAAAAAAAAAAAAAAGGACACCATGTATGGATGGAATGGCCTTGAGGTCCTCACTTGTGCTGTCCTCTGACTTCATGACATTTCCTGTTATATGGCCTATTTCTCCATGTAACCCAGAGACAAGAACATACATAAACAACAGCATGGCCCAGAGATATGCTGTGCATACATAAGGTAGAACAGTATTCCGAAATTATCAGAAGTCAGTGATGCTATCTGGGCATTGATATCAGAATATAAAGACCTTAGCAATGAAAATAGAAGCTGTGTGGGTGGTACATGTTGCATGGTACACAGAAGGTCTTTGTAAAATGATATGCCCAGTTGTTCAGGAGAACATTTTGTAGTTTTACTTATTTTTTAAAAATTGTATATTTTTTACTTTTATAGATTTGGGGATACGTGTGAAGTTTTGTTACATGGATATATTTAGTAGTAGTGTGGTCTAGGCTTTTAGTGTAACCATCACTCAAATAGTGAACACTGTACCCATTAGGTCATTTTTCAGCCCTTACCTACTTTCCTTCCACCTTTCTGAGTCTCTAATGTCTATTAGTTCCACTGTGTCCATATATACACATTAGTTAGCTCCCACTCATGAGCAAGAACACGTTTTATTTGACTTTCAGCTTCTGAATTATTTTACTTACTATAATGGCCTCCAGTTCCATTGATGTTGCTGCAAAAGACATGATTTCATTTGTTTTTATGGCCAAGTAGTATTCCATGGTATGTATATACCACATTTTCTTTATCCAGTCATACATTGATAGACACTTAAGCTGGTTCTGTATCTTTGCTATAGTGAATAGTGCTGTGATAAACGTATGATTGCAGGTATCTTTTTATATAATAATTTCTTTTCTTTTGGGTAGATATCCAGTAGTGAGATTGCTGAATCAAATGGTAATTCAATTTTTAGTTCTTTGAAAAATCTCCTCACGATTTTCCATAAAAGTTGTACTAATTCACATTTCCACCAACAGTATATCAGCATTCCCTTTTCTGCACATCTTCACCATCTGTTATTTTCTGACTTTTTAATGATAGCCATCTTGACTAGTGTAAGATGATCTCTCATTGTGGTTTTATTTTGTATTATCTCTGATGATTAGTCATGCTGAGCATTTAAAAAATGTGCTTATTGGTCATATGTATGTCTTCTGTTGAAAACTGTTCATGTCCTTTGACCACATTTTAATGAGGTTATTTGTCTTTTTCTTGTTATGTTGAGTTCCTTATGGATTCGAGAAATTTGTCCTTTGTTGGATTCATAATTTGCCAATATTTTCTCCCATTCTGTAGGTGGTCTGCTCACTCTGTTAATTATGTATTTCCCTGTACAGAAGCTTTTTAGGTTTAATTAAGTCCCATTTGTCTATTTTTGTTTTTGTTGCATTTGCTTTTGAAGTCTTAGTTGTGAATTCTTTGCCTAAGCCAATATTCAGAAGAGTTTTTTGGCCAGGTGTAGTGGCTCTTACATCTAATTTGAGCACTTTAGGAGGCTGAGGCAAGAGGATTTCTTGAGCCCAGGAGTTCAAGAGCAGCCTACGCAATGTAGTAAGACCCTGTCTCTACAAAAAAATTTAAACAAATTAGCCAGGCATGGTGGTGTGCACCTGTAGTTCTAGCTACTCAACAGGCTGAAGCAAGAGAATAGTTTGAGCCCAGGGAGTTGAGTTTGCAGTGAACCATGTTTGTCCCACTGCACTTTATTCTGGGTGTGAGAGGGAGACCCCATCTCTTTAAAAAAAAAGTTTTTCCTAGGTTTTCTTCTAGAATTTTTATAGTTTCAGATCTTACATTTAAGTCTTTAATCCATCTTGAGTTAATTTTTGTGAATGATGGGAGATATAGGTCCTATACTTATGCATCTGGCTATCCAAGTTTTCAAGCACCCAGCATCATTTATTGAATAGGATATCCTTTCCCAAGTGTATGTTCTTGCTGCCTTTGAAGAAGATCAGTTAGCTTTAGGTATGTGGCTTCGTTTCTGGGTTTTCTATTCTATTTCATTGATCTATATATCTGTTTTTAAACCAGTACCATACTGTTTTGGTCACTATAACTTTCTAGTATAATTTGAAGTTAGATAATGTGATGCGTCTGGATTTGCTCTTTTTACTTAGGGTTGCTTTGGTTATTTGGGTTCTTTGGTCCCATAAGAATTTTAGGATTATTCTTTTCCAATTTTGTGAAAAGTTATGTTGATATTTTGAAAGGAATTTTGAAAGGAATTGCATTGGATCTATAGATTGCTTTGGGCAGTATGGTTTTCTTAACAATATTGATTCTTCCAATCCATGAGCATGGGATGTTTTTTCATTTGTTTGTGTCATCTACAATTTCTTTTATCAATGTTTTATAGTTTTCTTAGTAGAGATCTTTCATCTCCTTCTTTAAATGTATTCCTAAGTATTTTACTTTTTTTTTTGTAGCTGTTGTAAATAGGGTTGAGTCCTTTATTTGGTTCTAAGCTTGGTCATTAGTAACGTATAGAAATGCTACTGATTTTTGTATGTTGATTTTTTATTCAGAAACTTGACTGAATTCACTTATCAAATCTAGTGGTAGTTGAAGGAGTCCTTAGGATTTTCTAAGTATAAGATCATATCATCAGCAAACAGAGATAATTTGACTTCTTCTTTTCCAATTTGGATGCCTTTTATTTCTTTCTCTTGCCAGATTGCCTGGGTAGAACTTCCAATGCTATGTTGAATAAAGGTGGTGAAAATGGGCATCTTTGTCTTGTTTTAATTCTTAGGGGGAATGCTTTCAACTTTTCCCCATTCAATATGATGTTGGCTATAGGTTTGTTGTATATGGCTTTTGTTATTTTGAGGTATGTTCCTTCTATGCCTAGTTTGTTGAGGGTTTTTATCATGAAGGGATTTTGAATTTTATCAAATGCTTTTCTGCATCTATTGAGATGATCGTATGGTTTTTGTTTTTAATTCTGTTTATGTGGTGAATCATATTCATTGATTTGCATATATTGAGCTATCCTGGCATCCCTGGAGTAAATCCAACTTGATCATAGTGCATGCTATGGTTTTAGATGACCTGACTACACATCTCAGTTGCTCAGAACAGTGTCTATGTGTTGCCTCTGTGCCATTATTAAAATGGTCCCCTTCCCTTTTAAAAAGCATCTTGGGACAATAAATTCTATGGGCATTCTAGTTTTAGAGGATCAATAAATAAAGAATAAACTTAAGGTGTCTGTGTTAAAAATATTAGGGTATGGCTTTCTAAGCATGGCTTGAAATCTGGTTTCTACATTATTCCTAGTTAGTTCTCTGGCAGATTCTGGTGCTAAGCCCAAATCCGCCTATTCTGAGGTCTTCTTTATCCCTTTCATGAATGATCCTGTGAGCCTTGGACTTTGGGGTTCAAATTTAGCCTGGAGCAGACTCATGATTGCCTTTCAAGAGTTGTCAGCTACTTTCTAGTTAACTCAACCTTCAAAGATGGAGGTTGTGTTATTACCTAAAGTAGACTGTACACCAGTCTGTTGGTACACTCTGACTACCTGGAAGGGGTTGACAGAATTATATAAAGCTACATCACTAAATGGGCAGAATTTTAACACTGAGTATAATGCTTAGCATTCATGATGGCATGGTAGACTAATCTACCATTATATTTGCTTGTAAAAATATAAATAACCTGTCTTACATAATACTGATATTTTGCTATAATTCTGCCTTTTGTGGAGTGAAGTGGCTCAACCTCAGCTCACTGCAACCTCCATCTCCCGGGTTCAAGCGATTCTCCTGCCTCAGCCTCCCGAGTACCTGGGACTACAGGTGTGTGACACCATGCCTGGCTAGTTTTTTGTTTTGTAGTTTTAGTAGAGACAGGGTTTCACCATGTTAGCCAGGATGATCTCCATCTCCTGACTTCATGATCCACCCACCTCGGCCTCCCAAAATTCTGGGATTACAGGCCTGAACCACCACGCCTGGCTATCTAATTCCTATAACTTCTTTGCCAAGTTCTTTCCAAGTTATAGAAATGCAGACATCTATTCATATTACTATTACTTTTATATACAAATAGAATTGCATCTCAGGCTTACATCCTTAAGTTTCAAAGTCCTTTACATGTATAAGTTTTTTGTTTTTGTTGTTTTGTTTTTGTACATTGCCTTTACAATCCACTTACAATCTACGGGGCCAGCTTTGTTATCAGGCCAGATTATAATCAAGCTATTCTTTGTTCAACCAGTATGCCCTCTCAGGGAATGATTGTAATCAATCTATAGTTTTACCGTTTAAAGATTCTCTATCAAAGAGTTTGAATTATTTTTCTTCCCCTTTATTTTCACTTTAGCTGTATTGTTTTTTGAGCTAGATAATTTTCTTTGAAGTAGAAAATTATCCTAATCTTGGCTAATAAATATTAGACTGGTGGTAGTGATACTACATTAATAGAGAAGAATGTGCAAATTATGATATGCAATTGGACTTAATGAAGAATAATGGTGTATTCAAGAGTATTAAAAAGTTCAAAATTTTCACAAAGCCTCTATCTAATTTTTTTTTTTTTTTAGATAGCATCTTGCTCTGTCACCCAGGCTGGAGTGAAGTGGCTCAACCTCAGCTCACTGCAACCTCTACCTCCCGGGTTCAAGCGATTCTCCTGCCTCAGCCTCCCGAGTACCTGGGACTACAGGTGTGTGACACCATGCCTGGCTAATTTTTTGTTTTGTAGTTTTAGTAGAGACAGGGTTTCACCATGTTAGCCAGGATGATCTCCATCTCCTGACTTCGTGATCCACCCACCTCCGCCTCCCAAAATGCTGGGATTACAGGCCTGAACCACCTCGCTGGCTATCTAATTCTTTAATCTTGGTAAAATTAAACTGAGTATCGATAGTGCAGCAATAAGAAAAAATGTGAGGGTGTTATTTTATAATTCTTTTCATGAAAAATGTTTCAGATCCAGGATCAAATCCTGACATTTAGATTTGACTTGGGCAGTATCTTCTTTACTGGGCTGGAAAAAGGTTAAATGAGATCATGATTGTGAACTGCATTGTTGTAGGTGCCAGCTCTGATGGCTCTGACAGTGCTACTAATTCTGGTGGACTATTTCCAAATTTTTATCTTGGAGACAAAGAAACCTCTATCTTATCTAAATCTCTTATTGTGAAGTTTTATTCTCTTGGAACCTAATGCTGACCCATAAAAGGTCTCATCTACTCTCATCATATAATTTTTTCTATTACTTGGCATTTCCTAGACTGTGAGTTAAATCATGAGTTCCATCATGGTTCCAAAGAGACCATTCTTTATGCTTGTATATGTCCTGTAGTATCTGTCACCTAAAAAAGCTACTTAGTTTACATTTTTAATTGAATAATTTGCCACATAATTCATGTGTTTAAAGCATGTAAAAGAATTTTTTATGTTGAAAGTTTCAAGTTTTAATAAATGTGCAGAAAATAGTTTAATGAGTTCCCATGTACTCAATATCCAGCTTCAACAACTATTGACTGATGGCCAATATTACTGTATCTTCCCTTTCCCCTGCTGCCTATATTTTAAAAAGGCCAATATTGACATCATATAATTTTGTCTATAAATATTTCACTATGCACTTCTCACAATAAGAACCCTTAAAAACAAACTTAACCACAACAACTAATTCATACCCATACAATTAACAGTAATTTTTCTTTTTAAATTATTTATTTATTTTTATTACATTTTAGGTTTGGGGGTACATGTGAAGAACATGCAAGATTGTTGCATAGGTACACATGTGGCAGTGTGATTTGCTGCCTTCCTCCCTTTCACCCATATCTGGCATTTCTCCCCATGCTATCTCTCCCCAGTTTTCCACCTCCCACTGTCCCTTTCCTATTACCTGCAACAGACCCCAGTGTGTAATGCTCCCCTCCCTGTGTCATGTGTTCTCATTGTTCATCACCCGCCTATAAGTGAGAACATGTGGTATTTCATTTTCTGTTCTTGTGTCAGTTTGCTGAGAATTATGTTCTCCAGGTTCATGCATGTCCCTACCAAGGACACGAACTCATCATTTTTGATTGCTGCATAATATTCCATGCTGTATATATGCCACAGTTTCCTAGTCCAGTCTATCATCGCTGGGCATTTGGGTTGGTCCAGGTCTTTGCTATTGTAAACAGTGCTGCAATGAACATTCGTGTGCATGTGTCCTTATAGTAGAACGATATATAATCCTTTAGCTATATACCCAGTAATGGGATTGCTGAGTCAAATGGAATTTCTATTTCTAGGCCCTCAAGGAATTGCCACACTGTCTTCCACAATGGTTGAACTAATTTACATTCCCACCAGCAGTGTAAAAGTGTTCCTATTTAACCACATCCTCTCCAGTATCTGTTGTCTCCAACTTTTTTAATGATCGCCATTCTAACTGGCATGAGATGGTATCTCAATGTGGTTTTGATTTGCATTTCTCTAATGATCAGTGATGATGAACATTTTTTCATGTTTGTTGGCCTCCTGTATCTTCTTTTGTAAAGTGTCTGTTCATATCCTTTGCCCACTTAAGAATGGGCTTGTTTGTTTTTTTTCTTGTAAATCTGTTTGAGTTCTTTGTAAATTCTGGATATCAGCCCTTTGTCAGATGGGTAGATTGCAAAAATTTTTTCCCATTCTGTTGGTTGCCGATTCACTCTAATGACCGTTTCTTTTGCTGTGCAGAAGCTGTGGAGTTTGATTAGGTCTCATTTGTCTATTTTGGCTTTTGTCGCCAATGCTTTTGGTGTTTTGGTCATAAAGTCCTTGCCTACTCCTATGTCCTGAATGGTTTTGCCTAGATTTTATTCTAGGGTTTTTATGGTGTTAGGTCTTATGTTTAAGTCTTTAATCCATCTGGAATTAATTTTAGTGTAAGGTGTCAGGAAGGGGTCCAGTTTCTGCTTTCTGCACATAGGTAGCCAGTTTTCCCAACACCATTTATTAAACAGGGAATCCTTTCCCCATTGCTTGTTTTTGTCAGGTTTATCAAAGATTGTGTGGTTGTAGATATGTTGTGTTGCCTCCGATGCCTCTGTTCTGTTCCATTGGTCTATACCTCTGTTTTGGTACCAGTACCATGCTGTTTTGATTACTGTAGCCTTGTAGTATAGTTTGAAGTTCAGTAGTGTTATGCCTCCCGCTGTGTTCTTTTTACTTAGAATTAACATGGCTATGTGGGCTCTCTTTGGGTTCCATATGAAGTTTATGGTAGTTTTTTCCAGTTCTGTGAAGAAGGTCATTGGTAGCTTGATGGGGATAGCATTGAATCTGTAAATTACTTTGGGCAGTATGGCCATTTTCATGATATTGATTTTTCCTAACCATGAACATGGAATATTTCTCCATCTGTTTGTGTCCTCTCTTATTTCATTGAGCAGTGGTTTGTAGTTCTCCTTGAAGAGGTCCTTTACGTTCCTTGTTAGTCATATTCCTAGGTATTTTATTCTCTTTGTAGCAATTGTGAATGGCAGTTCATTCGTGATTTGGCTCTCTTTTATTTATTTATTTATTTTTTTAGGAAGGGAGGAAGGAGGAAGGCAGGAAAAGAGGAAGGGAGGGAGGGAGGGAGCGAGGGAGGGAGAGAAGGGAAGGAATGAAATCAGGCAATGAGAGAGACATTGCCGACCTGGATCTAGAGGTTTACAAGTTGATTTCTTTTTTCTTTTTTGAGAGAAGGAAAGAAAAAAGGAGCGAAGGAGAGGAAGAAAGAGGAAGAAGAAGAGGGAGAGAGAACAGAAATGTTGCTTTATTCTTAAAAAAATGGGTATTAATAATGGCCAATCAATATTTCATTTAAACCTATGAGTAGGTGTGATGTGGTATTGACAAGAATGTATATTTTGTATGTTTAAAGTGGAGAGCTCCATAAATATTTATTAAGTTTACTTGTTACGGATCGGAGTTCAAGTCCTGGATATCCTTATTAGTTTTCTGTCTCATTGAGTCTAAGTCTCTATGTATCTGGGTGTTAGGATTGTTAGCTCTTGTTGTTGCATTGATCCTTTTACCACTGTATCTTTGTTGCTTTACAATCTATTTTATCAGCTATGAGAATTGCAACTCCTCCTTTTTATTTATTTGTTTATTTTTGCTCTCCATTTGGTTGGTAAATCTTTCTCCATCCCTTTGTTTTGAGTCTTTGTGTATCCTTGCAGGTGAAGTGGGTCTGGATGTAGCATACCGTTGGGTTTTGGCTTATCTTTTGATTGGGGGATTTAGTCAATTTAAATTTAGGATTACTGCCATTTGATGTTAACTGGCTGTTTTATCCATTCGTTGATGTAAATTCTTCTTTATGTTGATGCTCTTTACTTTTTGGTATATTTTTAGAAAGGCTAATACTGGTTGTTTATTTCTATGTGTAATGCTTCTTTCAGAAGCTCTTGTAAAGCAGGCCTGGTGGTAATAAAATCTCTGAGTACTTGCTTGTTCATAAAGATTTTACTTTTCCTTCAGTTGTGAAGCTTAGTTTGGCTGGATATGAAATTCTGGGCTGAAAGTTCTGTTCTTTAAGGATATTGAATATCAGCCCCCACTCTCTTCTGGCTTGTAGAGTTTCTGCTGAGAGATCTGCTGTAAGTCTGATAGGCTCCCCTTTGTGGGTAACCTGACCTTTCTCTCTGGCTGCCCTTAGTATTTTCTCCTTCATTTCAACCCTGGTGAATCTAACGATTATGTGCCTTGAGGTTGCTCTTCTTGAGGAATATCTTTGTGGTGTTCTCTGTATTACCTGGGGTTGAATACTATCTTGCTTTGCTAGTTTAGCAAAAATTTCCTGAATAATATCCTGAAGAATATTTTTCAGCTTGGATTTATTCTCTCCGTCACATTCAGGTACACCTATCAAACGTAAATTTGGTCTTTTCACATAGTTTCACATTTCTTGGAGACTATGCTCATTCCTTTTTATCCTTTTTTCTCTAATCTTGTCTTCTCATTTTATTTCATTAAGTTGGACTTCGACCTCTGATATCCTTTCTTCTGCTTGAACAATTCGAGTGTTTAAACCTGTGCATACTTCTTGGAGTTCCTGTATTGTATTCTTCATTTCCATTAATTCACTTATATTCCTCTCTGAGTTGTCTATTTTCATTAGGATTTCGTCAATCTTTTTTTCAAAGTTCTTAGTTTCTTTACATTGGGCTACAACATGTTCTTTTAACTCACAGAAGTTTCTTATTATCCATCTTCTGAAGCCTGATTCTGTTAATGGGATGCACTCGTTCTCCATCAAGCCTTGTTCCCTTGTTAATGAGGAACTGTGATCCTCTGTAGAGGGAGAAGCATTCTGATTTTGAGTATTCTCAGCCTTTTTATGCTGGTTTCTTCCCATCATTGTAAATTTATCCACCTGTCGTCTTTGTAATTACCAACTTTCAAATTAGGTTGCTGAGTGGACGTCCAAGTTCTTAATTCCCAGGGCTGAAATATGAGCAACCCACTGCGCTGGCCAAAACAGCGGTGTGAAGACTGATGGTGCTTTTCTCCCGAGGAATCTCCAATCTGGCTTCCTTCTTGAGTCCGTAATAGGCTACTCTGCCTTCCCGGAGCACCAAACCTTGGTCAAAAAAGGAACCAGTCTCATTTACTCTGCACCAAGAGCTGCTGCGCTGAGGTGCCGGCAAAACCGCTGCACCGGCCACAGGAGTCGCACTGGCCACC